GGTATGGATTAACATTTGTCAGCTGTTGTATCTTACATAATAGTCATCTGTTATTTACTATAGCACCTATTGGTATAAGAATATTACATACTAGAGATAAGCTGTTCACCACTACTGTTATGTTATACTATAGCAGACTTAATCGCTGTAATATGTTGTAGACCAGATTAATTTGGCAGATGTTCTTTTTAATCGGGATTTAGACCCCATATTAATCTTATATATTTATTTCATGAAGTATTTCTCTTTGATATTTAAGGAAGTTTTCAATTAGGCCGACATTTAAAGATCTGTATATTTATATTTGGTGTTTAAAGTTAAGTTGTAACTAAGTCATTAGATTATCATTATATATTTTAACCTGCAATATGTACAAACATGATAATGTACTGCTTCTGCAACATTTCCAGGATTAAAACCCAAATTTCACCCATCTATAATCCCATTGAATGCCTTAATCACTGAGCCACAGTGGCTCCACGACTGGTATTTAGACAGTAATCTGTTGTTGTGAATTGCTCTACATCGGATTCTTCGGATTTCTTATGATATAAGAAACTAATGTTTGGGAAAGATAAGTAAATTGAAAAGATCTTGAACTAATTTTACAATATGCTTATGTAATTTACGTAATAAAAATGATCTATACGTCAATATCCGATCTACATTCTCTCGGCATTAGTTGTCATTTCCATATATATTTTGTGTAATATACATAGACATAAAATTGACAATCACCGTTATAATATCGTAAACCTTAAACATTGATAACAAAAACGAACAAATCTTCTGTAAAAATTTTGATTATCATTTGATCAATAACGTATTCCAATCTCTTTTAATTAAAAAAAATACTCAAGGTATAATCGTATACAGAACTTCATTAATGTGATTACACTTTGTCTACTCACAAAAATCGAGTATGATCTTATTATCAAGTAAGACAGACCAAGTTTTGAATACAACGTCATTATCATCCCGATTTTACTGTCTTAAAAGGTCATGCGTCAAATCCTAAAAGATGTCTATTTCGCGATTCCTTCAAATCGATCAGTGGAGATATTGTTATGTAACAATAATATCCGATATGCTTTGTAATGAATGCTTATCGAGTGTTCAAAAATAACTTTGATTAAATATAGACAGGATCTGTTTTCTGGAAGCAGACAACAGTGTAAACAGAAATTGTTACCGAAGTTGGATGAACATCAATTAAAGTAGTTAGAGGGTTATACCACTTAAATGGTTTCAGCGTCCTTGACCATTACGCTATGAATATGTTACGCCATGAATGTGTTATTTTGGTGATTTCGAATTATTTAACTACGTCACAGTGCAATAAAAATAATAAACAGCATTCTTATCATGTATCTCCTGTTTTAAAAATTATTAACCACATAATTAATTATTGTTAACTTGACACATCGTTTGGAAATAAATAGTAATACATTTACACCCTCTAAACTCAACCATTTCCGATATATTGCAGTTTTAAGGTTCCAATGGCGGTCATATTGGATTTATGCCAATTGTTAGACGTATGACGTTATGACGTCATAGGGGCGTCATGGGTTATGCTTTTTTTTATTCTTTAGTACTACTTTTATGTCTACCCCTAACACATTTACACCCTATAAACTCAGACATTCCCGAGATATTGGAGTTTTAAGGTGCCAAATTGTGTTCTGTTAATGGATTTATTCTTATTACTCGAAAACCTATCTTTTTGGTTTGAACGATTATTGTTTGGGAGACCTTCAGGGACCCCTCAACCAGATTCCGTCGAGAAAAATTATGTTGCAATTTGTTCTAGGCATCCACTCCATATGGCTTATCTTTACCCGACTATATTTGTAAGAAATCGATATTATTATTAATTATTAGACTTCGATAGGAATAATGATAAAAACATAGAACTGCCAAATTCCAACATGCTATTTATTCAGACACTAACAACTCGCAGAGCCAGCTTTTGTCTCCGTGGCATTATTGTCATCTTTAAACACGATATCTGCACGACAATATCACTTTAAACACGGTATCTGACAATATCACTTTAAACACGGTATCTGACAATATCTTTAACCCTCTTAGACCCAAAGGTATAGTTGAATTCATGTTATTGACCCTGTCCCCAACCCCCCTAAATTCGCGTGACGTATATGTCACATGGGGTCTAAGGATATATAGGACTTGCAGGAAGATAGTACCGTTAAATTTGTCCATTTTTATATTCTTGTCATCGTTACTTTGGTCGTGATTTAACGATAAGTTAAAGTTACATTTACGGTGTACTATTTATTTCATGATACAAATAATCTTTTTCGTTAACACAACGTTTATCTTTTAGCTTGTGGTTTTATTTCGGCATATCCGATTTGGCTCCCCGTGATTAAAACATGGAGAGAGTAATACTGCATAGTGAACTTTCTTAAAATTTGATGTCATTGATTTCCGGGCTGTCTATAAGGCGTTTGTTAACTTCTTCAAATGAAGTACATAGCATTCAATATTTGTACGCCGGGGAAAAGCCGCATTAGCGTATAAAGCGTTTTGTTAATGGAATCTGTCTGCTCCAAATAAGATGTGCGGATTGGATGATACCCTTGAAGGAACTATGCGACTGCCAAGTGGAGTGGATAATTTAAAGGTTACAACTGTAGAACCCTGCCATTAATTTACCAATGCTTGCCGGAGGCATGAATTATTTTAAATAGAACAATATTCTAGGTGTTTGATAGATGCTCTGAGTATAATTGAAACGGCTTTTTATTGATTCACGATAAAAGCCTAATCTGTTGTTCCTAATTCAATTGCGGCAAACAAGAGTTTGTAATAACATGTAGTTATGGCAGACTTGTTTCTAGAGTTCAGGATATTATGCTATACCGCCAAATCACATTGTTGTTAAGATCTCTGAAGATAATGTGTAGTACATCACAATTATGAAACGTCTAAAAGTTGGGGATAATGGCAGGTATGGGTTTTGGAATAGGAAGGAGTGTGGCTAAAGTGTATGGAACCTACAATTACTGTAAACTCCTAATATGACCAAATGATTTTGCTATGTTCAACACATAAATAAAATCGGTATTCCTTGATAAATTCCCGTAATTTCCAATGTTTTAAGTTGTCTCGGGCGTCATACCGTTACTCCAGAATATGACCAAATGATCTTGCTAGGTTCAAGACATAAATATAATCGGTATTCCTTTATAAATTCCCGTAATTTCCGATGTTTTGAGATGCCTCGGACGTCATATCGTTACTCCAGAAAATAGGAGAGTGTGTCTTCGCGTAATGATGACTTGAAAGGGAACCAGGGTATCTATGTTTCTGAGGACAATGACGAAACAACAGCACCGATTCGGTTTCCGGCAAAATCAGTGAACTTGAATAACCCTATACCACTAGGGTAGTAATAGTCTTCAGTGAGTGACGTGATTATATTGACATATCGCACCGATAGCTGAGCCTTTCCAATGCATGGGAAGTGCAAACCATTAAAATTGATGTGAATATTTCTGATTCACAGTATGAATGTTTGATCATAATGTGTGCGTTTCTCAGGGTGGTAGAGCTTACTATATTCACCGATAAAGTAATATGTGTGGAAATTTAATAAAAAAGAGAGTATCTTAACTTTCTGAAAATCGACATGTTCCCAACTTTTAAACATCAACCGTCTACTATCGCACTGGATTTCTGTATTGAAGAGTTATGATAATATTACCAACTGAAAATTAAACGAGTATATGCAGCCAAAAAGGGTCATCCCATATATATATTTTAGTTAATATTTTTAATTCAATTCTGTTTGAAAGACTCCAAAGTAAAAAAAATAAATTCAAACAGAATTGATTAGAATCATTCACCAAACCTCGGGATGACTCTTTTAGCTAGAATTTAAAAGACTCTCCAGAAAAGGGTAGCCGCAGTGGTCTAGTGAGTATCGCGCTGTCCCATTTACCAAGAGGTCCAGGGTTTGATCCCGGTGGTGGATGAGAAAGTTCCCCTGAATTTTGCAGCGAGTTTTTCCCTCGTCAGTCATTCAGAGTGGATGACCTGGCAAGGGACGAAAAGTACCACTGGCAATTGGAATTCATTTGCTGTCCGGTCAAAACGTCTCTCGTAGCACTAGTCCTGTCAGTGCAAAAATGTAGGACTTCTAAAAACCGTTTTCGATCCATGTTCCCTTCAGACAACGTTGAAGCTCTGTATTCCAAACAAAACGTTAAGCCATTCCCGTGATTATATTACAGTAGCTGAATATGTTGAGTTGAATCTTTTAGACAAGGTAGATAAACCTTTTGGCCTTCATCGTGAGCAGAATTTGAGATGAAGCCACGAATCCATCCAATCAATTTACGAGCTGTACATTTCTCCATTTTGATAAGAGAAAAAGAGTAGAATAAGAGTATAAATAATTATGTTGCCAGTCATAGTTGTACAAATAGGCGAGCCGCGGAAACTCACTGGGTAAGTCGCTAGTCTACTGAGCTGAAGGTCCTGTGTTCGATCTCGGGATTTTCGGGCGTGCCTTCGCCACGTTAACCACACCACCCTTGTCAGTGGTGCAGGACGGAGGACCTGCAAATGGTAGTGACTAGACGATCGAATGGTACAAAAAAAACGAAATCTCATGTACACGTTGGCTAGCACGTAAATGAAGCCATGACAGATGGAATTTAATTGCAGTCTGGGCAAAATGTCCCTTATGGCACACTGTATGACATATGTCGGTCTTCATTGGCCCGACTTGTGCAGAAAAGTATCGCGAGAAACCTCATTTCAGTCATTCATTCGTCCACATTCATTCATTCATTCATTACACAAATAGTTTATTGAGGCGTCGATTGATCGAGGTAAAGGTTACTACGGAATTAATACTTTGATCAGTGGCACAGCGATATTCTTTCCGGTTCACCCTTGCTGGAAGCGCATGACGTTAATCCCTACTGACAACACTGGGGTAAAGATTGGGTTAAAATCAATTTGCATTCATATTGCACATTCTTTATTCACAAGAACATGAGCTCAGTGTAGTTCAACTTCCATTTTAGAACAGATACCTTCAAGCTCTTCATAACCTGGTTCATTTGATGTTGGACATCGACATTTCCACTCGCCAATAACTGTTTCTTTACCACCTCTGATTACCCGTCCCATGGCGTAACAGTTTGGACCTGCAATACATTAATGAACAGCTTCAATGTATTGATTGTATTAAAAGTTTTAAGTAGGACGTTAAACCCCATTTCGTTTCATTTCATTTATTAAAATTTTCCATCAGAACTACGTTAAACAGAGAGAGAGATAGAGAGAGAGAGGGAGAGAGAGAGAGTAACATATGGTTTAATTTGTTTTTCAGTAATTCTCTTTGGCAGATGGAAGAAACCGGTCGAACTTACCTGGAAGAAGTTAACAAAGGTCTTATAAATGTATTGACTTTTTGACAACCCCGAAACCAATACCGTCGAAATTTATTTATTTATTTAAAATAATCGTGGGGAGCCAAATCGGATATGTTGAAATACAGGAAAGTGGGGGGGGGGGGGGGTGAGAGACAATGCTACTTGACTGAATGACAGACCTCGTGATATAGAGCGCACGCTTTAGACCACACCGACCCCACCTATATAGTAAATGAACTGACAGCTAGGATCTTTTGGTCAAACCCAATCTATTCTGTGAAATCTTGGGCCTAAGAGAAGCGTTGATGAAATGATCTATATCAGTGTGGTATGTATATAGAGGGTGGTCGCTGTGCTATATCTAACTCCAACATTTCACAGAAGACCTTCCAGAATAATGCACACGTCACTGATATGCACCAAATTTACGGCGAACTAAGACGATGTCCATAACGTTAAACTGCAAACACTGTGTTTTGGGGGTTAAAGAAACGAAATTTTGAGAAATTTAATTTTTTTTTAAACGCGTTTATTCCATGGAAAGTTTCCACGCATGCAAAAAGTTAAATATATTTTTGATAATTTTAAGCTTAGTCAGAATAGCTATGTTATTAAAGAAAAATCGTTTGACAAAACTTAACTAATTGTGAGTCAAACAACAAGATTCGCCTAAAGCAACACTACTTATAAATATGCCTTCACAGCAGCTATTCTTGGAAGCAGCATATCCGAAAGGAAAATTTGGATGTAGACCAAATTTGATAAGCAGTCTGTTCACCCCCACCCCCTCCAAAAATAATAATAATAATTTGATGTTTAGATTTCGCACATTAAATCATAAACGTTCATTGAAAATGGATGATAGAAAAGAAAAGCCTACTGCAGGCAAACTAATGTTATTTTCAGTTTTCAAAAAGATAATGAGGCCCCTGGGTTCTCTAACATTTTAAAATAAAGCTTCCCATATACAGGACTTACTTACCGTGCGGGCAAAAAGCGCAACATTCTCCAGGTCTTCTGATCATGTCAACACATGGGTTGAACTCACAATTATATATATTACAACTAGTGGTGACCGCGTCGCTTAGAGAAACTGCCACACACAGAGCAATCAGCAATGTCCCAAATATCATATTGATAAACAGTATTTTGGAAAGACTATAATACACCCTCGAATTGAGTTTTGTGTTGATCTGTGGTGTTTGCACGATCTTATAAGCATTTTGCTTGATAATTAAATAATTGCGTGCTAAATAACTAATATTTGAAACGAATAAAATAATGCCCATGCTGCTTTTGATATTTCTACAGATGTACAATTTAGCTCTATTTAACTCTATATATGACAATTTTATTGTTTAAAATACAGACGTGGAGTATTTTATTTTAAATATTTTCCTGTAATTATACTTGCACCTGCCTCCAGCATTAGTTATCATTTCCATATATATTTTGTGTAATATACATATTTACTAGACATAAGATTAAGAATTACCGTTATGATATCGCTAATCAAAGACATTGATAATAAAAATGAACAAATCCTTTGTCAAAATTTTGATAATGATACGTATGGTTTTTTTTTCTATTTGCCTTGACGAAATCCCTCATTTTTCACTACAAAAGTGCCCCTTGTAATTGATAAAACGGTAATCATGGAATAGGACGGAGGGTGGCTAAAGTGTATGGAACCTATAATTACTGTAAACTCCTAATATGACTAAATGATTTTGCTAGGTTCAAGACATAACTAAAATCGATATTCCTTCATAATTTCCCATAATTTCCGATGTTTTGAGTTGTGTATTGTTACTCCAGAAAGTATGAGAGCATGTCTTCGCGTAATGATTACTTGAAAGGGACCCGGGTGTCTATGTTTCTGAAGTCAATGTCGAAACGAGAGCACAGATTCGGTTTCCGGCAAAATCAGTGAACTTGAATAAACCTATACCACTAGGGTAGTAATAGTCTTCAGTGAGTGGCATGATTATATTGATATATCGCACCGATAGCTGGGCCTTTTCAATGCATGTGAAGTGCGAATATTTATGATTCACAGTATGAACGTTTGATCATAATGTATGCATTTCTCAGGGTGGTAGAGCTTACTATATTCACCGATAAAGTAATATGTGTGGAAATTTAATTAAAAAAAAGGGTATCTTAACTTTCTGAAAATCGACATGCCCCCCCCCCCACACACACACTTTATTAAACATCAGCTGTCTACTATGGCAATGGATTTCTGTATTGAAGAGTTAAGATAATATTAGCAACTGAACTGAAACGAGTATACGCATTTCTCAGGGTGGTAGAGCTTACTATATTCACCGATGAAGTAATATGTGTGGAAATTTGATAAAAAAAAAGTGTATCTTAACTTTCTGAAAATCGACATGTTCCCAACTTTTAAACATCAACCGTCTACTATGGCACTGAATTTCAGTATTGAGAGTTAAGATGATATTAGCAACTGAACTGAAACGAGTATACGCAGCCATCTAAATTAAAGGGCCATCCCATATATATCTTTTAATTGTGTTTGAAAGACTCCAAAGTAAAAATTAAATTCAAACTGAATTGATTAGAATTATTCACCAAACTTCGGGATGAGCCTTTTAACTAGAATTTGAAACACTCCTCAAAAAAGGGTAGCCGCTGTGGTCCAGTTAGTATGGCGCTGGCCAATTTACCAAGAGATCCGAGGTTCGATCCCGGTGTAGGCTGAGTAAATTCCAGCAGAAAAGTAGGACATTAAAAACCTTTTCCATCTATTTTCTCCTCAGAAAACGTAAATACGTTAAACCTCACGGACGGAGGGGGCGTCTACACAACAAAAGGGTTGTGAACGATTCTTTTATGTAAACGCTTATGTGTACACAGGAGCTTGTTTTTGTCCCATCTACACAACTAGACACTTTGCCAGGCCCTTTGTCCTACTGCACTACCGACAGGGAAAAAACACGCTGCAAAATTCCGGGGAACTTTCTTGACCAACACCAGGATCAGTCACCATACCTAACACTTCTTCGCTATTAGAATATTGATAACTTGATTCCCATTGAGAACGTCCACGATATCGATTTTGTTAATGTATTTTTGTATTTGGCAACCCCTTAGCCGTGGGGATCTTTTAGTGTAGTATTTGTTTTTTGATTTATATTCGCTTTGAGTAGTATGGTGGGGCTATGAAATTGATTGAAATGTACTACGATAGGGCAAATCGTTTAAAAACGCATTTTTAGCTGTAAAAAGGACTTGACATGTTAATAGCTTACATAGTAATTAGTTTATTGGTTCTATAACATAAAACATTGACAAACCACAGCATGTTGCACGTTTAACAATTGACAGGTGTTACTTTATGTTTAAATGGTTAAATTTATTTTTAATCGAACATATGATTTATAAAAGCATAAAGGTCGCGAGGAAACGATATATCAGAGTCAGGAATATATTAGTTGTGTTGATGCTAGCAAAGTTGTATTTTCTCTGTATAAGGTCTCTGTGTTCAGAATGGCTGCTTGTAACGGTACATGAATGACAGTTTCGTATATTATTTCTGAATTTGTCGGTATGTCGAGATAAAATCGACACAATAAATAATATTTAATAACTTGATTTATTAACGTAACAACAGTAGCAATGAAAATCGAGGCTGCGCTACTCTTCAACATAACTTCGCCCAGAATGGTGTAATTTGACTGGAATTTTCAATATTCTTTTTTAATTATCTATTTTAAACTATTATAATAACTGTCAGCTTTTTGCTTAAATCTTGCATAATTCATCTTTAAAATCATTGGGATATCTATATGTATTTTGCAATATGAGTAGCTATATCTGAAAAATTAAACTACGCCAATCCAGGGGGATCACGGTGGCTAAGTGGGTAAGACGCTGGCTCGCTAGCCTTGAGGTCGGGTGTTCGATCCCTGCATTGGCCGAGAATCTGTTCAGTCAGATTCAGTAGGACATAAACCCATTTCATTCCATATCATATCGAGACTTTAGATAAGAAAGCAAAACATAATCGGTTATAAAATAAATTAATAAAGCATGTGTGCCAATGATTCAAATCATTGTATATTACATGCATAACTACTGATATTATATTTCCACGTTACAGTCGCCTATGCTAAAAATATGGTGTTACAAGGCGAATCAGATAAAAAAAACAAGAAAATTAGACGACATTTAACTAAATTTACTTTTCTTTTATTTAAAACGGTGTATATATGTAATGTCTTAATCGTTTATTGTGCGTGCAGATAAGTGACAATAATTAGGAATCTTCACAAACACCGTCATTAGTTTCATAACCAGCTTCATCCTTTCTGGAGCACCGACATTTCTTTCCATTGACAACTGTTACTGTATCTCCCGAACCTTTAATTACCCGACCTCCGGCGAAACAGTTAGGACCTGTAATAATAAAACAATACAAATTACACTATTAATGTTCGTATTTAGATAAAGTTCTAAATGAATTTTTAAAAGTCAGCATAGGTCTGTCTAACAGTTAGACAGTTAGGCGTTACAGTTAGGACCTGTAATAATAAAACAATACAAATGACACTATTAAAGGGTCGTATTTAGATAAAGTTCTAAATGGATTTTTAAAAGTCAACATAGGTCTGTCTAATGGGTGGGGAAGGGGGGCGTAAAGGATTTTTCTTTTTTCAGTGCAAAATAAGCCATGTTCAGCATAGAACTGGCTATTTTCTCTAAAGCATCAAGTTATTTGTCAGAAAATTGTCTATATTCAACCAATATTCATATTTTGCAATAATAACTAAGTAACCCGTTACGTGTCATTGTATTAACCTACTATAAGCGTTTATTTTATTAACCTGTTACCTGTTATTATAGTAATCTACTTTGTATTAACCCATTTCGTGTTTATTACAGTAATCTACTGTAGGTTTTTATTGTAGTAACCCACTTCGTATTTATTAACCTATAACACATACTTATTGTTTTTCCATAAGTATGTGTTATAGTTTATTGCTCTATCCATGAGTTACTAAATGCATCTCAAAGATTACGTATTTATTGTATTAACCCATTGTGTGTTTACTGTATTAACCTGGTTGTACGTGACAAGGAGTAGGGTCGCCTGTCCAACCTCGCGGGTTTTCTCCGGGTCCTCCGGTTTCCTCCCACTGCTAAAGACCCCTACGCACAAGCGAATTATGTAAATAAAATTAAACCATATGTTAGTCCCGAAATTACCTAGTTTGTGTCGAGTGGACGTTAAACCCCATTTTTTTTTCTCTCTCTCTCTCTGTATTAACCTACTATAAGCTTTTATTGTATTGTTCCACAATGTGTTTATTATATACTATTCAAAAAAAGTAGGGGATATTTGATTTTTAAGTGTTATTAAAGTCACCTAATGAAACTGACGAAGAAACAAATGACAAAATGAAATGAAGTTCACATTCATCGATTTATTCCAAATGATCGTTAGACTAAGTAAGGCACAGACTGACCATTATAAGGGTAAAATGATACCCGGGGTCAAACAGCAAAGTTACCACAGCATCACAACCAAGTCAGTAACGGGTAAATCCTCCCCTGTTTGCCAAACAAGCATTGATCCGACGTGGCATACTCCTAATGAGACGTCTAAGGTCATTTTGGTCCAGATTGTCCCATTCCTGTTGCAACGCAGCAGCAAGTTCTTGGACATTGGCAGGACGTTGTTGACGTTGACGTAACCTCTGTCCAAGCATGTCCCAGACATGCTCGATGGGGGAGAGGTCGGGACTCAGTGCTGGCCAAGGTAATGTGGTGATGTTCTGTTGTTGGAGGTAACCTGTAACGATCCTGGCCCTGTGACATCTTGCGTTGTCATCCTGGAAGATGAAACGGCGGCCATGACGTCGTGCGAACGGCACAACATGGACTGCCAAGATGTTGTCCCGGTAGTACTGGCCTGTAACACGCCCTGCAACAACATGTAAAGCCGTTCTTCCAGCAACAGTGATGCCTCCCCACACCATAACAGAACCACCCCCAAATCGATCATGTCTGATGACGTTAACGTCTTGGAAGCGCTCGTTTCGACGACGCCACACCCTCCTACGTCTGTCCAAAAAATCAACAGTGAACCTTGACTCATCTGAAAACATCACATTGCTCCAGCGTCGATTATCCCAGTGTTGACGATCCCTACACCAACGACGTCTTGCCTGAATGTGATGATCTCTCAAACAAGGGATCACGCGAGGACGTCGGGCGCGAAGGTGACCCCTATGCAGTCGATTCCGAATCGTCTGGCCACTCACTCTCACACCAGTGTCTGTTTGAAGACGAGCGCTGATCTGATTTGTGTGATGACACGATTTCTCAAGGCCAAGGTACGGATAAATCGATCCTGGGCTTGAGTTGTCGCCCTTGGTCGACCTGAGCGTGGTCTGTCCTGTACATATTGTGTATCACGGTATCTGGACCATAGCCTGCTTATGACAGACTGAGAAACATTCATCGTCCGCGCCACAACCGCCTGTGTTGTGCCGATCTGTAGCATGCCAAGGGCACGTAACCTTTCATTTTGGGTAAGCCGACGCATATCAAAATTTGTTTTCTGGTCACTAAAACAATTAAACTGATGTTTCCACCCTGGAATTCAATGCCACAATGACTGTAACATTCAAAGTCAGAGTCGTGCAAATCTTGGGTTGGACCCCCATGATGATCCCAAGCATCACATGCATTCCCTGCGGTAGCTATTGGTGCGTTTGGGCGTCACATGTAACTGGAAATGTTTCTTCTGTTAGGTTCTATAGTGACTTTTTTCGTAGTCATTTGCATATTTTAGTATTATGCCCCCAAAATCAAATATCCCCTACTTTTTTTGAATAGTATATTACCCGCCACTCACCCCACTGCTTGTTATTATATAAACCCCATAATATATAGTTGTTTATTGTATTAACCCACTACGTGTTATTATATTAACCTCCTATAGTTTTTTTTATTGTATTAACCCATTACGTGTTATTATATTAACCTTCTTATTTATTGCATTAACCCACGCTCAAAATAAAGTAATTTGAATGAAATTTTCAATATAGTCCTTTCTCATTGTCTATTTTTAAACTATTATAACGAGAACTGTCAGCGCTTTATCTAAATCTTACATAATGTATATTTACGAATTAATCTAAAATAGATATTTGCTCACCATGGGGACAATATGCACAACAGTGTCCAGGTTTTCTTTCTTGATTCACGCACGGGTTGAATTCACAAGGTTCATTGCAGCGACCAGATGCAGCCAATGATACAGCCACACAGCCCAATAGTAAGAACACACATAACATCTTCATCTTGTATTTCTTGTAAGTTATTTCTTGAGTTCTATTAAACTTTCTGGTGATTTGAAAATGCTGCATCTGTACATATACGTAAATCAGAATAAAATTTGCATAATGAGTAATTGTGTTGATTTTTAGCAGATGGTCTTTTGATCCTGAAATAATTATGGGGGTTACATTTGCTTGAGATTGTATATTTAGTGAATTGTTGAAATATAATTAAATGGAATAGTGTGTTAATATATTCTTCAATCAATTAAATATTTCGCGATTGACCGTCTGTTTATAAATAATGTTAAAACTATATTCATAATCTGCAAGGTCGATATCGCCTACTTTATTATGCTATGGGTAATTGTCTATAAATTTGAATAATAAGTCTACCCTTTTATATGGAAGCCTCTTGAAAACATCATTAAAATTAAAGCCGAATAATGTTTTGTTTATAATTCCATGCCGCCCTGTTTGGTGTTTATCTAAAGGTGCATTATGTAAGATTTAGATAAAGACCTGCAGTTCTTGCTAAAATAGTTTACAAATATTATATAAAGACAATGGAATATATTGAAACTTTCAGTCAAATTACTTTATTCTGAGCGGAGTTATAAATGTCGAAAGTTTTTCATAGTCTCGATTTTCATTGCTACCATCCTTGCGATTTTAAAGAAGGTCTCGGTTATCCATTTGTAAATCAAGTTATTATGGCCACCGTGTTTCATTTCACCCGATGTTCTAGAGAGTTGATTGTGGATGTATGTTTAATTAATGAATTATGAAACGTTTGAAGCAAATTGAATGACCTGTAATACCCTGATTTAGCACATGTTCCGTTCAATGGCTCACAATAATTAATGAATATTTTTTACGTGTCGGATCTTTCAGAATAAAATCATTTAAAACGACACGTTCTAAATTTAGGTAATTTATGGTCATTTACAGTCTACGATTATTTTATTATTTTCACACCTCCATCTGTATCACTGTCTTAGATAACTAAAATGCTAACAATTCAGCTATCGTTTTTTTTTTAAAAAATCATTCCATTGTTCGTAAAGGTTTTTTGATATCTGGGTATAAAATATTACATATATACATTTGACTTTTGAAATCTATGTGTGAGCGATCTGAATTGTTTTCAGTAAACAACTGAGATATGTAGCAACTATGCAACAACATAATATCAAATAATTATAACGAGACAGTGTTAGCCAAATGGAGAACCACAGTAGCTAAGTGAGTAAGACGTTGGTTCGCCAGCCTGGAGGTAGCGGGTTCGCTCCAGATGTTGGCCAAGAACGTTCATCGGCATTTTTCCCTCGTCAGGGGTGCAGGACGGAGGGCCTGGCAAAGACAGCTATCTAGTCGTTCGGATGGGACGAAAAAGCGAGGTCCCGTGTACACATTGGTGTGCACGTTAAAGATCCCTTGGCGGTTGGAATTCGATATAAGAGTAGACCGTAGTGCCGCTGTCCGGGCAAAGTTTAACTTATAGCAGGCTGTATGGCGTAAGCAGGTTTTCATTAGCCCAATTCGGAGCAGAACAATAGGACGTTAAACCCCATTACATTTTTCCGGCGTGATTTCCCCTTGTCAGTCGTTCGGATTGGGCGAAAAACCGAGGTCCCGTGTATACATTTGCGTGCACGTAAAAGATCCCCTGGCAGGTGGAATTCGGCAAATTTCCCTCATAGCACACTGTATGGCATATGCCCTTCTTCATAAGCCCAGTCGGGGCAGAACAACAGCGTGTTAAACCCCATTACATTTAATTTCATTTCATTAGCCCAGTCGTAGCAGAACAGAAGGACGTTAAACCCCATGACATTTTATTTCATTTCAGTTAAACCCTATTTCATTTCATTTCATTTTGTTAGCCAAATACTATCACAACACAAAGTCCACTCAAATGAAACTCCTCTGTGGGTCAGGTACAAAACTCGGAAAACTCGGAAAGCTCAGAGGCGGTCAGGTACTAAACTCGGAAAACTCGGAAAACTCGGAAAATATTTTCCGACTTTTCCCCTCTCCGAGTTTTATGAATTGACTCGATTGAAAACACAAAACTCGGAAAACTCGGAAAAAATTGTCCGACTTTTTGTTTCAAACTGAAAAGTCGGAAAATATTTTCCGAGTTTTCTATTCAAACAAAAAAGTCGGACAATTTTTTCCGACCTTTCCGAGTTTTGTGTTTTCAATCGAGTCAAATCATAAAACTCGGAAAGAGAAAAAGTTGGAAAATTTTCAAAAATATTATTTTTTTTAAATTGGCGAAAGTAGTTGTAGTAATACATCTATTTAATAAGTTGGACATAATCTGTAACTTTTCAGTTATATTTTAACCAAAATAATGTAATATGGCAGTTATAATCGAATATCCGAGTTTTCCGAGTTTTGTATTTTGGCCTATACGAAAACACAAAACTCGGAAAACTAGGAAAGTGGTCAAAAGGTATCAAAATAAAATATTTTTCATTGGATATGGTGTGTAAGGGTTGTAATATGTACAAAGGCACTCAACTCGCCTTTACGGGGATAACTTGGGTGAGATCGAAAACTAGGACATCCAAAAGATGAAATGATGAAAACGAGGTGTGTATATAATTTCAATTTCAGTTTGAAACAAAACGTCGGACAATTTTTTCCGAGTTTTGTGTTTTCAATCGAGTCACTTCATAAAACTCGGAGAAGGGAAAAGTCGGAAAATATTTTCCGAGTTTTCCGAGTTTTGTACCTGACCACCTCTGGGTTATATATTGAAAGGTTTATGAATATGAATCTCCTTTGAACGATACGCTTTAGTCTTGCAAATTTGAATGTAACACGTGGTAATAATGATTTCCCGATCGCATAAACGCATTACAGATCGATTCTCTCAAACACAAAAAAATTGAATTCGACAGTGTTTCACACAAGCTACGCAGTGTGAAACCCTAATTATGATTTTATTTTCACTTTTATGGAACATATAATGTACTAATTTATTTTATTCACATAAATTCGAACAGCTGCTGACAACTCTCGGCGATATGTGACAGACTGTCCACTCAACAAGTGTTGTATTGTCTGGTTGGTACAATATTGACTGATACTACAGACATCACTCATAGTCAGAGCTCATCATTTCAGCTCCTTTCTAGTGAAAGAGGTCCTGACTCCCTTCTTAGAAACTGTTACTAGTGTGGGGGCCCAGTGCGGGGTGGGGGGAGGTATACAAGAATTGCTGCGCATCCACTTTCAGTGCAAATGACCTCATTAGATCTTTGACCCCGAATATCTCGAAAACGCCCAAGCGGCGGACTGATTACATATACCACTCGGCAACGTATTCTACTACGCAAAATTTTATTATAGAAAAGTTGGGTTTGGTTTTGTGCCCATTTGCTGCCCCCCTCCTCCCCCCCCCCCCCCACACACACACTGAGCCTGTGGGACATCTTTCACGAAATTTTAACAAAGATAAAATCCAAATTTTAGTAATTTGATTGGATAATATTAGATTGATTTTAGTGCTTAGCCAATCAAAATTGAAGTATCTACTATCATTTGGATTTTATCTTTAGTTAAAGATTTCGAGAAACAGGGCCCGGGTCTATACCTAAGTCCATGAAAACGTAACACATTAATTGTTCCATTTGCCTTTACGACTGCATTAGTCCGGTCACAGGTCTTGCTAACGAGTGTTGTGTACTCGGTTTTATTTTCCACTCTTGAACTTCTAAGTTCAGTCCACAAGTCCAGGATTGTGGCCCTTGATGTGCACAATCAACTTCTCAGAAAGACGGACTGAGTAAACACATAACCGAAAGATAAATCCGCGGAAAAATTTACGACCCGAATTTAACTAGTAATTTCGCGTTTTGTAATCGAATAAATAAACTATCACACCCATTTTTAACTGGAACGATAACTCCACAAAAACGTTAGAACCTTACGATCGTTTTTTTTTTTTGTTTTTTTTTTAAAAATCGTTACATTTCCTCCTTCAATAGTAAAGAACTCTTAGATTGGTCCGAGCGTAAATTGGGACAATTTTGATAGTTTTTTTTCCCCTTATGATCAAATGAAAATTCCACGAATTTGAAAGAAAAGGGCGTTCGGAAGAAAAGATTGAGAAACGTTTGCAAACAATGTCATCTGTCTGAAGTGGAGTTATGGGGGTTGGCGTGGGTGCGTGGGCGTCTTCTAACTGCGTTCTATCGAAAATCTAATATAGTTCATCAATATACAGTATAATAATACATGTGATATATAATATATGGATTTGTCGTTAAACCCCATTTTATTTCATTTCATTTCTTATTCATATTACCCAAGCCCGTGTATAGAATTATATAAATAAATTTTATTGAACAAGCAACAGCCTGCTAATTAAACTTGTATGTATTAAAATAAATATATGGTATAGTGGAATTGTGTGCAATATCTCTGGACATGGTGGTTAGCCCAACAGCTGCACGTTGAAAATCAAGGGCCTGTTTCACAAAATTTTAACTAAGATAAAAATCCAAATTTTAGTAATTTGATTGGATAATATTAGATTGATTTTAGTGCTTAGCCAATCAAAATTGAAGTATCTACTAAAATTTGGATTTTATCTTTATTTAAAATTTCGTGAAACAGTCCCCTGGGCTTCAATTAATATTGTTTCTACAATTGAAGTTTTTTACAACGCATATACCTACAGCGGTGTCCAAAAGAATACCAATTATCGTATGTTATCGAAACGGTTAAAAATGACGATTGGTTGTATAAGCGTACATCCGTTTTCCTCTTGGGTACACAAGTACTAAAATCCAAATGTAAATATGAAAACAGCTCGAAATTTACTGCACGAGGAACAGTCAACAAAGAAGCTATATCAATAACTCTATATCGTATCGCGCTCCATACAAAGAGTACATTAACTTTTAAATATTTTAAGTCCGTGAATGTGTGGGAGGGGGAGGGCCCCCACCCGGGGAAGGGCCCCACCCCACTCCATCCCACCTACTTGGCGCCACCACTGATCATGCGTTTCACTAATGTTTCTCTTTTTATCCTTGCCCATGTCGCCACATGTATCATCTGTCTCGTCAACACTGTTCCTATCCTTATTACTATCACTTTCTTAAAAATGATCAACCAATCACAATACAATGTTTAAAAATATA